CTAGTTTCCACAAATAATATCCTATAATTATGGTAACCATTGACTCTTCTTAGCTGTATTCCTAGTAAATCGCAAGAAGCACAGATATATTTATAACATTCAATCGGCATCAAGATTCAAAACCCTAAATTGAAGCCAGTCTCGTTTTTTCCTTCTTCACTTCTCAAATCCAATCGACACATCCCAAAATCACACCTCCTCTTCTTCGCGTCTCCTCCCTCCGGTCGACAGAAGCCAAATGAAGAAACAACGGAGTTTTGCTCGTCTCTTCCGGCTGCGAGGTGTGATGTCCGGCTTCGCAAGGAGCGGCAGTGGCAAGGTGAAACCTTTGTGGCTTTGTGTTCGATGGGAACGGCAGAGAAGGAAGAAAACGAGGGGAAAGGGGGGTCCGATGGTAGCCATCTGTCGCAGGTGAGGACCTCGGTGGTGTTTGCTTGAAGATCACGATGTTTCCTTGTTTTGGCAGTTCCAAATCAACCACAGGTAAAAAAAATTTGGATTTTGTTTGTTTGTTTGATAGAAATCGTTAGGGTGTTTGGGTTTGTTGGGAAATCAATGAAAATGAAGGGAATTTGGGTTTGTTGATTCACAGGAAATGAAGAAGGAAGAAACTAGTTTTTTTTGTTTTAGCAGCCTCTAGCTGCGTCAACTTCTGTTTCTTAGAAGTAGTGATTTGGGGGTGGTGTATGTTTTGTGCTTTGATCGACAGAACAAGAAGAAAACACCACACTAGAGTGTGTGGTCGTTCCAGAAGACGAAGAAGAAGGTGGAGGTGGGGTTGTCACAGCCGGCTGCTCCATCTAAAGGTAGAGATTTTTTTTTGTTTTTATGATTCCTTTGTATAATTTGAGTTTGGATGGAACTAACTGCTTTTGCTTTCTTTATGTTTACTCTGCCATACAATGTGTTACAGCCATACAATATGTTACAGGAGGCCAGGTGTATCCTGCCCAGGTGAATTTTTAATTGCATTTGGTATTTGACAATTACAGAATCTTGGAATAATGTTATTCATTTATGTGAAGGCTGATGTGGTATGAACAATTTCTGTATGTTGTTCATCCGAAATTAAAAGTTGTTTTGATGCACACCAAGCGCTCGCTAAAATGCTTCAACTGAATGGTATTTCTTCGTATATAGTATTCTATCAGAAAAGAATGTTTTTTATGATAATCATGAACATATTCTGTTAGAATGCCCCGAATTAATATAATTATTGGTAAATGAATTCCAATTATATCAGAATTGAATCACAAATTCCAATTATGCTGGAATGGAATATGTATATTTTCTCACTAATTTATTCATTGGATTTGTTTCCACAGAAATTGATGCTTGAAGAACGGACCACGAAATTTGAACGACGCCTCTTAACAACATTATTCTTTTAGAATAAATTAGTGTATTTGTTAGATTTTGATGTTTTTTTCCCGATTTGAAAGTTTTTTAGTTTTATTCTTTAACAATAAATGTAATTTTTAGCAATTGTTACATGTATTCTATAAGAATTAATATAATTTTTGTTTTAATTATTCAATTGCTGGTTCGAGAATTTGTTATTCTACAAGAAAAATATGTTCAAGAATATTTTTATTATTTTATGGTTCAAGAATTTTTTTATTTTTGAATATATTCAAACATATTCTGTCAGAATGTCCGAATTAAAAACCTAATAATTCCTAAAATCAGATTTTTAAAATTAATAGAATCTATGATCCCTTAAAATATGCAAACTTCCTTTATTAAATCTATGTTAATTGACTAAAATACCCTTCTAGTTAAATTAGATGGTATTTTTCGATTATTTTTAATTCAATAATATGTATTAATCATTTTTTTAAAATAAGTAAAATGATTGGCTCATATTTATGCATACAATAACACAATAATTAGTTTGAATAGAATAATCTAGGCCTATATATATATATATATATATATATATATATATATATATATATATATATATATATTAACGGCTATATAGCCGTTTGAATCAAAAAAAACTTAACGGACCAATAGAATGAGGAGTGAGAACGCGGCATCCCCACCCCCCACCCTCCTCTCCGTGCCTCCTTCCCCGCACCGACGGTGCGGTGTTCCCGCCTGCGGGACTCTTCCCGCACCCTTCCCCGCATACGTTATCGTCTGGCCTAATGATTATTGTGATTTATGTTTTCTATTTTATCATAGAAAGTTAGGCGTTTACCCTTGAATAATTCTTGATGGACGAAGAAAGTATATGTTATTGTTAGGTGGGCGGTGAAATGTCAATTGTGGTTTAAGAACTACGAGCTTAGTCCAAATGTCATTATCAAAATTAGTTATTCAGTCAAGTCAAAATTTGGGAAAAATCCACGTAATTGCCATGTTTGTGTTCTTTTTCCTTATTAGAAATTAAAGTAAATCTCAAGCTTCATGCTAGTTTGCTTTATATACCGTACCTGATAAAAAAATCAAATTAAAGGAAATACATATTTTCAAAAAAACAAAACAATTATTTTAATTTAATATAAAATGTAATACTAAATCATTTAAATGGCATCTAATAAATGTAATGTTTAGAATTGTATAGAATATTTTAATTTTACAAATGTCATTTACAAATTAATAAAAACTAGCAAATTGCTCACGAGTTGCAACGGGACAATGCGATTTGTAGGTTAAATTTTGTAAATTTATTAATAAAAGTTAGATATATTTGCATTTGTTGCTAGATAAATATACAAGGTTGGTACTGCTAACTAACTTTAGTTTTTTTATACCATCGAATAAAAAAATATATATGTGACTGATACGTAAGAACCGTACATAAAAATAATCACAAAATATACGTCGAAATGTAAAGAAAATCTAATTTTTACCAACATGTACATAAAAATAAGCAAGTAAGATTTTTTTAAGCTATCGAACGGAAATTCAAATAATAACAATTGTATTATATGTGACTCGACTCATACGTAGGAAGCGTACATAAAATAAGATCGAAAACGTAAAAAAAAATTACGTCAAAACGTAGACGTGCTCAAATTTATATCGATACGTACATAAAAAAACATTGTTTTTCTAATATTAACGAACGAAAGTTGTAAATTTATGTTGAAACGTTGACCACTTTCAATTTATACCAACATATACATACTTCGGGGGAATAAAGGGGGTGAAAATGACATTTTAAATAGTTAAAAGTGGAGGAGGTCAAAGTAATATTTTAAAAAGTATAGGGGTAAAAATGGCTTTTTATAAAGTATTTTAAGAAATATAGAGGTGGAAAGTGTCATTTATGAAAGTTGGGAAAAGTGGAGGGATCAAAGTGACATTTTAAAAAGTATATTGGTAGAAAGCAGGGTCGGTCATGAGGATTCAAATGCTTAAGACGAGCCGGAAAAAATGCCCTTAGGCCCCATCGTGTAACGAATTAAATTATATAAACTTAAGTTTTTTTTAAAACGACGATAAACTTTATAGCAATAAATATAGCAAAATCATAGTATTTGAGTGACCATCAGATGCTTGTTTAAACTTCATCAGTACAAATTCATTAGTTTCAACTTTCAACATTCAAGTTACAATAAACATAATCGGATAATCTGATAATGAGATATTCTGATTTCTGATAAACAATTAAACTATAGACATAACCTGATAATCTAATTTCAATTTCTGATAATCTATTATAAGTTGATTCAACATTTATTCAAATTTCAGAATTTTAACATTAACTATAATCTGATACAGTGATAATGATTCAACATGTTGATTTCAGAATTCTAATAATCTTTTCATTCAAGTGTTCAACATTCAATTTCTGATTCAACATTCTTGCAAGTATTCAACCTTCAATTTCAAATAACATAAATACATAATCAGATAATCTATTAATCTGATAAGTGGAAATGTGGAACAAAAAGAAAACTAGAAATTTGATAAGTGGAAGTATTCAACATTCAATTTCTGAATTTTGATAACATAAATACATGAATGATTGATTACCTGATTAGCAAGACTGAAAGAGTAGACGATCGTCATATGATAGATTGATTTCCATAATCGAGTAATCGACCCTCGCGGAATGATTGCTTTTGTTGCCTTCGTGTGTGGACTACAATTGATCGATTAAAGAAGTTGGGCATGACTATCCTTTGTATTTGGGTCTGATTCCTGAATATAGTATAAAAAAGGTAGGCTCTTAAAAATTAGCCATGTGCATATGCCCACCTTGCTCCTGTATATAACCGGGCCTTTTAATAAAGATCATTTTATAAAATATTTTAAGAAATTAGGGATAGCAAGTGTTGTTTATAAAAGTTGGAAAAATTAAAAGGTCAAAATAACATTTTAAAAAGTATAGGGGTGAAAATGTTATTTTATAAAATATTTTTAAAAATATAAAGATTTTAAGTGCAATTTATGACAGTTAAGGGTTGCAATCATCGGAGAAAACTTCTCGTACACCGACGTTGCAAATTAATACTATATTAAGATCATAGCTTTACTCTTGGAAAAAATGTGCATCTGTACTTTATATAATTTTATATAAGAATTTTGTCAATTCATTACTTATAAAATTTATATGTTAACTGATATTCGTTTGAGTTTAAAAAAAATCAATTGAGATATATATATATATATATATATATATATATATATATATATATATATAATATATATATAGTGTTAACTTCAAATGATAACTATTTTTAAAGTGAGAACGTGAGGACAAATCTCAGCCAATCAATATATATAATTAATTAAATAAAAAAATTATATTATTTTACATTAATAAGGCAAGGTTTGATTGTTTAATCAAATTTAAAAAATATATCAATGTAAACTCCTATAATTAAGGAACGTTTCATATTAGTTATAACAAACATTTATCTCGATCTTCAATCATCAATCGTATGTATCAATCGTGTGTATCAGTCATCAATATTAACAAACCATACTGAATCGGATATTCAAGTTAAGCTGTTCTGAAAGTTTTCCATAATAATCCATTAATGGATTTGTCATTCGCCAACGAGTTTGATGATATAATCGAGATCAATGAAGAGGATGAGATCAATGACGTTCAATCTGCATTAGTCGATGACGATTTTTTGTCAGGTGATGATGTTTTTTGTTCGACTGATCATGATAATCCCTCATTCGGAAAAGTCGACATCATGGATGACCACAATATTCAAGTTCCTGGTATGTTTTTTGAAGTTTTTTAATTTCGTTAAATATGTGTCAGTTATATTACACAATTTTGTATTTTGTTATAATACTATCAAAAAATTGACATTTCAGAATCGTATACTTTATTGAAAATGTATATTTAAGTTTATTTGATTTGTTGTTTTGTTAATTGTATTGTGTTATTAACTTGTCATGGTTATTAGATGTTACAGACATTGAATTATGTAAAGAGAGAAAAGATGATTGTCTTGATCAACACTTGGTAATAAGAGGTAAATCGTATTGGATTTCTTCTATCCCTGATGATATTAAGCCAATAATAAAGCATAAATACCCATCTGATGATGCAATTGAAGACATGTACAGAAGATATGCATGTGCAACAGGTTTTGATGTTAGGAAGTCAACAAACAAAAAGAAGGGTGGAATTGTGTACATCAAATATATTTTATGTAACAGGGAAGGTTTCCCAAATACATCTCCTGTTGATACTTTGGACCCAAAAATAAGTAAAATTAAAAGAAGGGTTGACACTAGGAGGACCGGATGCAAGGCACATATACGATCATTCTCATCACATTCATCTAGTGTGTTAAAATCCAAACCCTTATTCGGAAGTCCAAACATAGCTTCCACTGTCTCGTTTGTTATGGCCACTTCACTATTTTTAACCCTTATTGTAACGTCCGTGTTTCCAGGCTAGGCATCGGTGATGATGTAATAGTCTAGGTTAGCCTTTGTAACCCGTCTTGAAATAATAAAGATGTATTATTTGAGTATTATGTGTTTTGTGCTTAATTGTGTGACTTAAATGAATTAAGGATAAAAAATATGCGTCAAAATGAAATGTTAGATAAACCCGATATTGATACATGAAGGCGTAGTAGTCGTGACGAGGTTTCCGAATATATAAAGAATGCCAAAATCCGAGTTATAACGAAGAAGTTATGACCTGTCGAAGTTTCGCGACAGAACCGGTACGACACTGCGTGACGTAAATAGCGAATTTAAGATAGAGCGATATTTAGCCTTAGTGATCTAATCGAAAGTCGTAGAATACGTTAAACCGAGAGCATGCATAAGAAGAACGTCTAAATCTGACTTCGTATGAGGAAGTTATGATTTTTCGAAGTTTCGACTTAGCAGTATGCAGCCCGAAACTCGAATATGAGATCGAGTGATTTTTAGCCGAAACAATCTAAACGAGAATCGAAGATCTCGTTGATAGTAGTCCAACGGAGAAAAGACAGACAAAAACGGACGTCGGATGAAGAAGTTATGAATTTCTAACGGAGTTTTCCTGTCCCAGCCTACTAAAAATAATATAATAAAAATAAAAAGTCAAAATTAGCCGATGGAGTCTAAACGAGAGTTGTAGAGCATAATCTCACCTACGCGTGGATATAAATAACGTCGAAATCGGAGATCGTATACGAGAGTTATGATTTTCTGAAGTTCGAGGCGCGCATCCCAAAGGGGGAACGCCCCACGTTCAATTGGGGAACGCCCCGCCCTCGGAGCCCAGAGCCTGTCTCGTCGCATGTCAAGTCCGAAGTTCGTAAGCAATGACGCACGGCGGAACGCGCTGCGTTTCTTCAGGGAACGCGCTGCTTTCGGGAACGCGCTGCGTTCGGAGGGTCAGCCTCCCCCTATAAATAGAATGCAAGGTCTCCGGGATTTGTTGCTCATTTCTTCTCTCTCACTCCTTATTGCCTCGATTTGCATGCAATTTATACCCCCGAAGCCCCGGTATCATCCCGAGACCCGAAGTGAGTCCCGAAGCCCTGAAGATCCCGAGAAGTAAAGTTTCCGAGTCGAAACTCTGTCCGCGAGAAGCCCGGTTTTTGTGAAGATCTCCCGGTTTCACCGAAGAAATACTACTCTTAAATCCCGTAGTGTTGTCCGATCATCTTCTGATCAAGTGAGTGTATTTTCGTTTTCTTCTAACACATAGATATGAAGTATTCTTTATAAAATACGTGCTATGTGTGTATATATTATTTGTTTATTTGAACTAGTTGTTGAATGGATGTTTTGTACAGGTTTTAAGCTGTATATAAATGTATATATTTTATCTACTAATATGTTGGGTAGAACATGGGTAGACAGTTGGTGTGTGATGAAATAAAAATGATGAGAGGCCTCGATGTTGTTGTTGATCTAGTCATCTAGCGGAGTATGGATGACGACCACGAACTCCTTCTAGACAGTCCAGTGGAACACTAGCAGGCTCATAACTTGTAGGTGTTGTGAACGATGTGTTCACCGGTGTACTCTATCCCCCTCATGGTTGCCTTTAGGACATCTATTGTTAAGGAAACCCCTTTGCAGTAATGTCCGTCCCGATGAAAATCCTAGATTAGGTCCCTTGTAATAGTTGTTGTTTTAGGGACATAAAGTGAGGATAACGGGAATGGGTAATCGGGTTATTGTTGTTTGATGAAATTAAATATAATTATTTATTGTGGGTTGAAAACCCTATATGCTCACCAGGCTCCCAAGCCTGACCCACTCAGTTTCTTTGTATTACAGGTAGTGGCGCGAGAGCATAAGTTGGATGACATTGTCAAGATATTTTTGGATTATAGACCAGTAGATATATGTAACTGTGTAAGGTCTATGTTGTATTGTTTATGCTTTTTTGTCTGTATCGGAACATGACATCCCGAGATTTTGTTATATAATGAAAAATACATTTCTTTATGAAATGCTTTGATAAATTCTTATCATACTTTGTTTTGGGAACAAATTCTGCAACTGTTTTAATCAAAGGATTACTCTGATTTTATTTAAAAGCATAAATAAAACCGGTCTTTTCTGGCCGTGATTTTGGGGATGTCACAGTTGGTATCAGAGCATTAGTTTAAGCGAACTAGGAATTTGTAGGATTTCTAGACTTAAACTTAGAATGCTAAGTGAAGATTGTGAGATGAGTGTCTGTTATATTTAAGACACGAGCACTAGTTTATTTTAGGAAAGTTGCCTAAAATGCTTTTACGTGCTAAATGTTATATGTTTGCCATATATGATATTATTTGTTCGGATCTATGGTCTGTTGCCGACCGGATCTGGAAACCTTATGTGTTTAGGATTCTAAGCGTGCGTCGACGGTATTAGAACTAGCATGTAAACGTTTCGAAGTGATTTGGATAATTATCTATCGTGAATGAGGATCTAAATTCACCTTGTTCGGTGTATAGATCAACGATGGCAAGAACAAGAAGTGGTGTTGGAAACGCTAACGAAAACAGGAATCAACCATCGGTGAGTGAGCAAATACCTGTTGTAGCAGCAGCACCCGAGCCAATAACAATGGTTGGTGTACAATTGATGATTCAGACGATGTTGGATCGTCAGATGGAAGAAACTAGACGCCTGCTTCAACAAAATCGTGAAGAACTTTCAATTCAAGTTGAAGAGCCCGAAGTGAATGGAGAGCCGTCGGATGGAGGAAACTTCAGTAGGACTGTTGGTCAAGCCAACCCACCGATTGTTAGACAAAACAATCATGATGGAGGAAATGATGGAAGAGGATGTAAATACAAGGATTTTATGGCATCTAAGCCACCGTCTCTATCCGGAAGCCCGACGCCGGTGCAAGTTATGGATTGGGTCTCCGAAATGGAGACAATGTTTGAAAGTTGTGAATGCAGCAACAGGCAGAAGACCGCTCTTGCGATCCCTTTGTTAAAATCTGGCGTGTTGAGTTGGTGGAAGCTGTTAGCTGACTCTATGCCCAAGAGTGAAGCGAGCAAGATGTCTTGGGAAGACTTCGTGGTGCAACTCAAATTGCAATACTGCTCCGAGAAGGACCTTCTGGAAATCAATAATGAGTTTCAGAATTTGAAGAAGGGAAAAATGAGCGTTACTGAATAAGCTGCAAGTTTCACAGAAAAGATGAAGCTTATCCCATACCTAGTTCCAACAGAACTCTCAAAGGTCAATAAGTTTGCCCTCGGATTACCAGCGGACTATGGTCCAATGGTTAAGCAAGCAACCACACTGAAAGCCGCCATCTGGGCTGCTAGAAATGTTGAGACCCAGATCAGGGAGAAAGGTCTGGAGAAGTCAGAGGGTGGAGAGAAGAGGAAGTTCGAAGGACCTTCAGGGTCCAGCAAGAAAAAGAAATTCTCGAAGTCTAGTTCGAGAGGAGGAGGAGGAGAAGAAAAATGGTGCGACAAATGCAAGAAGAAGCATCTTGGGAAATGTGGCGGGGAAGCCACATGCTTCAAATGTGGAAAGTCAGGGCACTATGCCAACGAATGCACCCTTGCCAAGAAAGTCCGCTATGGGTGTGGTGAGGAGGGTCACATCTGGAGGGATTGTCCTAAAAAGAAGGAGGCAGCAAGACCCAATATTCCACCAAAGCCGAAGGCGAGAGCCTTCCAGATGACACTGGAAGCTGCTAAAGAAGAAGCTAATGTCGCTTCAGGTACCTTTCTCGTAAACGAAATTGTCTGTCCAAATTTTATTTGATTCTGGAGCCAACTACTCCTTTATTTCACATGAATTTGGTAGAAAACTAGCTTTGCCTGTCGATAGACTAGTAATGCTTTATTAGTCGAAGTTGCTAGTGGCAAGTTTGTACCTGTTAGCCATCGTATGAAAAACATCTTAATTGATTTGAATGGGAATAAGTTCCACGAGGAATTATTGCCTATTGAGTTAAATGGTTTCGACATCGTGCTGGGAATGGATTGGCTTAGCGTCAATGACGTCGAGATATTGTGCAGAAAGAAGATAGTAAAAGTAAACCCGCTAGGGAAAGAGTCATTTGTGGTGTATGGGGACAAACGCAGAGTAAATTCTGGAATCATTTCGCTAATGAAAGCCAGAAAGTGTTTGGCCAAAGGATGTACATCATATTTGGCATTCATGATCGATGCTAAGAAGGAGAAAAAGGAGACGCAGAGCATTCCTGTCGTGTGTGATTATCCGGAAGTATTTCCCGAAGATCTTCCCGGATTACCGCCTGATAGAGAAGTGGAGTTCAGAATAGACTTGTTACCAGAGACGACACCAATAGCAAAGGCACCTTACCGATTAGCACCGACGGAGATGAAGGAGCTGATGATGCAACTTCAGGAGTTATTGGACAAAGGTTTCATTAGACCTAGTTCATCACCCTGGGGAGCTCCGATGTTATTTGTGAAGAAAAAGGACGGGAGTATGAGAATGTGCATTGATTACAGAGAGCTGAACAAGGCAACAATAAAGAATAGATATCCGTTGCCGAGGATTGATGACCTGTTCGATCAACTACAAGGTTCAAGTTATTTTTCAAAGATCGACCTGAGGTCAGGATATCATCAGCTGAAAGTAAGAGAGTAGGATATCGAGAAGACTGCATTCAGAATACGATATTGACACTACGAGTTTTTGGTTATGTCGTTTGGACTAACCAATGCTCCAGCAGCATTCATGGACTTAATGAATAGGGTTTGTAACCTATTCCTTGATAAATCTGTGATAGTGTTCATAGATGACATTCTGATTTACTCGAAAAGCCAAGATGAGCATGGCCAACACTTGCGCGAAATGTTAGAAGTCTTGAAAAAGGAGAAGCTGTATGCTAAGTTCTCCAAATGTGATTTTTGGATCCGAGAAGTCCAATTCTTGGGTCACGTGGTCAACCAAGAAGGAATAATGGTTGATCCAGCAAAGATTGAAGCTGTGATGAAGTGGGAACAACCGAAAAGTCCCACGGAGATCCGAAGCTTTCTGGGATTAGCCGGATATTACCGAAGGTTTATCCAAGGCTTTTCTTCGATCGCTACTCCATTAACAGCTTTGACTCACAAAGGAGCTACTTATGCTTGGGGTGATAAACACAAAGAAGCATTCGAGTTGTTAAAGAAGAAGCTATGTGAAGCACCGATTCTTTCTCTACCCGATGGAGTTGAAGACTTCGCTGTCTATAGCGATGCGTCTGGTGTTGGGTTGGGTTGTGTTTTGACCCAAAGAGAAAAGGTGATAGCATATGCGTCTCGACAGCTGAAAGAGCATGAGAAGAACTACCCCACTCACGATCTAGAGTTGGCAGCAGTAGTGTTTGCTCTGAAAATATGGAGGCATTACCTATATGGCTCGAAGTGCAAACTTTTCACTGATTATAAGAGTCTCCAATATCTCTTTAATCAGAAAGAATTGAATATGAGGCAACGACGCTGGCTAGAATTACTTAAGGACTACGACTGTGAGATACTTTACCACCCCGGTAAAGCCCATATTGTCGCTGGTGCTCTTAGTCGGAAAGTCAATCTTGAGAGAAAAAGGCCAAGAGCGTTGAGAATAGAAGTTGTCTCGACCATTGTGGAAAGTATAAAGAAAGCTCAAGAGGAAGCTTCTGAAAAGAATGACCGGAAGGAGGAACGTTTGGGCAAAACGTTGGTGTTCAGTACAAACAGTCATGGACTAAAGGTATTCCAAGATCGTATTTGGGTACCTAAGTCAGGAGGAATAAGAGATCTTCTGATGGAAGAAGCTCACAAAACCATGTACTCAATTCATCCTGGCAGCACTAAAATGTATAGGGACCTAAAGCCCTATTACTGGTGGCCGACGATGAAGCTCGACATTGCGAAGTATGTGGCGGAGTGTGTGACCTGTGTGAGAGTCAATGCGCAACATCAGAAACCATACGGGAGTTTAGAACCTTTGTGCCTATGGGTAAGCCTATGGGTAAGTGGGAAGACATCACTATGGATTTTGTCACTAAACTGCCCAGAACGAAGAATGGTCACGACATGATTTGGGTGGTCGTCGATCGCTTCACTAAGAGTGCGCACTTCATAGCAGCCAATGAGAAATAGTCTATGGATAAGCTTGCGAATTCTTACGTAAAGGAAATTGTGAGGCTTCACGGTGTTCCGTTAACGATTGTATCAGATCGTGACAGCCGTTTCACCTCAAGATTTTGGAAAAGCCTACAAGAGGAATTGGGTACCAAGTTGTGTTTAAGTACAGCTTACCATCCACAGACTGATGGTCAGAGCGAACGAACGATACAAACACTTGAAGATATGCTGAGAGCATGTACCCTGGAATTCCAAGGTAACTGGGATGAACATTTACCTTTGGTAGAATTTTCCTACAATAATAGTTTCCACTCGGGCATAAAGATGGCACCTTATCAAGCTTTGTACGGACAGAAATGTCGTACGCCGTCTTGTTGGCTTGAGGCTGGGGAAAAGCAGTTTATGGTACCGGAGATAGTCCATCAAACTGCTGAAAAGTTGAAAATAATTAAGGAGAGAATGTTAGCAGCTCAATATCGTCAAAAGAGCTATGCTGACAAGAAAAGACAACCGATGACTTTTGAAGTTGGAGATTCGGTTTTGCTTAAAGTCTCGCCGTGGAAGTTATGACTTTTGAAGAAGAACGTCTAAATCTGACTTCGTATGAGGAAGTTATGATTTTTCGAAGTTTCGACTTAGCAGTATGCAACCCGAAATTCGAATATCATATCGAGTGATTTTTAGCCGAAACAATCTAAACGAGAATCGAAGATCTCGTCGATAGTAGTCCAACGGAGAAAAGACAGACAAAAACGGACGTCGGATGAAGAAGTTATGAATTTCTAACGGAGTTTTCCTGTCCCGGCCTACTAAAAATAATATAATAAAAATAAAAAGTCAAAATTAGCCGACGGAGTCTAAACGAGAGTTGAAGAACATAATCTCACCTACGCGTGGATATAAAGAACGTCGAAATCAGAGATCGTATGCGAGAGTTATGATTTTCTGAAGTTCGAGGCGTGCATCCCAAAGGGGGAATGCCCCGCGTTCGGAGCCCAGAGCCTGTCTCGTCGCCTGTCAAGTCCGAAGTTCGTAAGCAATGACGCACGGCGGAACGCACTGCGTTCGGAGGGTCAGCCTCCCCCTATAAATAGAATGCAAGGTCTCCGAGATTTGTTGCTCATTTCCTCTCTCTCACTCCTTATTGCCTCGATTTGCATGCAATTTATACCCCCGAAGCCCCAGTATCATCACGAGACCCGAAGCGAGTCCCGGAGCCCCGAAGATCCCGAGAATAAAGTTTCCGAGTCGAAACTCTGTCCGCAAGAAGCCCGGTTTTTGTGAAGATCTCCCGGTTTCACCGAAGAAATACTACTCTTAAAGCCGTAGTGCTGTCCGATCATCTTCTGATCAAGTGAGTGTATTTTCGTTTTCTTCTAACACATAGATATGAAGTATTCTTTATAAAATACGTGCTATGTGTGTATATATTATTTGTATATTTGAACTAGTTGTTGAATGGATGTTTTGTACAGGTTTTAAGCTGTATATAAATGTATATATTTTATCTACTAATATGTTGGGTAGAACATGGGTAGACAGTTGGTGTGTGATGAAATAAAAATGATGAGAGGCCTCGATGTTGTTGTTGATCTAGTCATCTAGCGGAGTATGGATGACGACCACGGACTCCTTCTAGACAGTCCATTGGAACACTAGCAGGCTCATAACCTGTAGGTGTTGTGAACGATGTGTTCACCGGTGTACTCTATCCCCCTCATGGTTGCCTTTAGGACATCTATTGTTAAGGAAACCCCTTTGCAGTAATGTCCGTCCCGATGAAAATCCTAGATTAGGTCCCTTGTAATAGTTGTTGTTTTAGGGACATAAAGTGAGGATAACGGGAATGGGTAATCGGGTTATTGTTGTTTGGTGAAATTAAATATAATTATTTATTGTGGGTTGAAAACCCTATATGATCACCAGGCTCCCAAGTCTGGCCCACTCAGTTTCTTTGTATTACAGGTAGTGGCGCGAGAGCATAAGTTGGATGACATTGTCAAGATATTTTTGGATTATAGACCAGTAGTTATATGTAACTGTGTAAGGTCTATGTTGTATTGTTTATGCTTTTTGTCTGTATCGGAACATGACATCCCGAGATTTTGTTATATAATGAAAAATACATTTCTTTATGAAATGCTTTGATAAATTCTTATCATACTTTGTTTTGAGAACAAATTCCGCAACTCTTTCAATCAAAGGATTACTCTGATTTTATTTAGAAGCATAAATGAAACCGGTCTTTTATGGCCGTGATTTTGGGGATGTCACACTTATGGAGCAAGAACTTGTTGAGAAGCTATCTACAACAAAATATGTCATCTTTCCAGGTAATGTGTCAATCTTCATTCCCAGAAAAGATCCAAAACTCATATTGCGTACCATTTCTCTCTGATTTTTTGACAAACTTTTAATGGCTAGATACAATGAATTCGCAGACATACGAGTACTCAACCTTTGAAATTCAGTTCCTACCTTCCCTTCTTTACATTTTTCTTGAGATCCAATTACTTTTTTCCCTTTCACCTTAACCTTTTTATCCTTAACACTCTTGTCAACCCTTTTCCTTTTCATTTTCTTTTCATTCTTTTCAGAATCCATCTTATTTTTCCTCTCAACAAAATCATCATCACTTGTGTCATTCTTATATGATTTTCCATTGTTTGTCTTTTTGGGTAATTCTAGTTTTCGTCCCCTACTAGCTACCCCTTTCTTCCCTGCATTCATCATAGAATTCTTTCCTTCAACTACATGTATGCTAGATGACCCTGTATATTGTTATCAAAATAATCATTCTTACATTTTCCAAATTTTATGAACATATTTATCCATGAATTATTTTAATCATAACAGAATAAACATTTACTTACTCACATATTCAGAAATGAATACACATTCATAACAAAATAATCAATACGATTTGTATACACCCAATTTATCCATGAATTCATGTAATCATAACACACTAGACAATCACTTAATCATTCTTACATTTTACAAATTTTATGAACAGATTTATCCATGAATTATTGTAATCATAACAGAATAAACATTAACTTACTCACATATTTAGAAATGAATACACATTCATAACAAATTAATCAATACAATTTGTATACACCCAATTTATCCATGAATTCATGTAATCATAACAAACTAGACAATCACTAATTCACATATTCACAAATGAATACACATTCATTACAGATTTATCATTCACTTCCACATTCATTAAGTCACCAGAAAAAAAACAACAAATATCATATTCACCACTACTCCTTCACCCATTCATACACGCATATACATTGCTTAACTTATTAATTTACAATATTAAACTATGGCCCTAGAAGTAATACCATACGCTCCTACATTGATTTAATGTTGAATTTTTATGCATGATTACACACATTCGACCATGAATACACATTCATTAATGCATCAACATAACTCCGCAAATTGAGTATTACCATCATTAAGCAACACAGATTACTAACTCCTACATAACAATTACATAAACGCATCTATATTATTACAATTTTTCTTTTCCAATACAGAGGTATGCACCTAACAGGAATACATATTTCAATCTTAATCATGTAACATAATTTATAAATTGGAAGCAATTTAGAGTAAACATATACCATTTAAGGTTTTATGTACTCTTTTTTTCAAACTTAAATCGCACTAACGTTCACATTTTAATCAAACACTCTATCACATACTCTTGACTCACATTTAAATACGCATTCAAACAAAACAGAATCTTAGCTCATATCACAAAACGATAACATAAAATTTCCATAAAAGTAAACCTACTTTAACAACACAAAATACATTCAGTACCAACTACTTGTTACACAAAAAACTTCGAATTTACCGACAAACAACCAAAACAACCTAATTCCTTAGAAAACCCTAAAACAAAAACCCTAATTCCGATCGTAGATCAAAAACCAAAAATTTAATCTTTATCTTACCTGATTCAATGTACAAGACTTCTTCTTCTTCAAGATTGATAGCATTGTTAGCCGTATTAGTAAACTTTGATAGAAAACCCGCTTCCATCATTCTTGGACTTTTTCTCAAGCTCTGTGCTCTCGTCCACCTCATATCGCTTGAATTTTATAAGATAAAACGATTAACCTAATATATTGGCAATTTTTTTGAAGATTCTGTGAAGATCGATTCACCCAAATGGGAACGATTTGGGTAGATATTTCCGCGAGGGTTTACCGGGAACAGTTGGCAATTTGATAGTATTACCTTTTTTATGAATATCGGATGTTACATATATCTCATTAAAGAGCTAAAAATCACTATTGAATATTACCTTTATTAACAAAACACGTTAGAATACATATAAATTAGGAATACTTAATCTTCACCGTTAAATACAACAAATCTAATGGCTAAAATTAGTCCTCATGTTCTCACATAAAAAAGTGTTCTCAATTTAACCTAACCCTATATATATAGATATATATATATATATATATATATATATATATATATATATATATATATATATATAATTCTACTTATAAAATTTATATGTTAGCTGATATTCGTTTGAGCTTAAAAAAATCAATTGAGAATATATATATATATATATATATATATATATATATATATATATATATATATATATATTATCATGATCACAACATTGATGAATGTAAAGAACCCATAAATGGACATATAAATTATCAAATGAAATGATAATATTTTTTTTTCATTTCAGTTTGATAATTTATATGTCCGTTTATGAGGTTCCATACATTCATCACTGTTGTGATCATGATTAATATTTTGAATTAGACAAATAAACATGTGTTATAGAGATTACATTATATAAAAACAAATCTATAAATAAATTACGTTCAAAATGATTACTTTATTTGTATTAACTATAAAATAATAATTGTTACGATAAATTGATTATCACATTATATAATAAACTTTTATCAAGGGGTTACACGTTAATAAAATTATATATAAATATTAATTTTGTGTTACTTTTAGTTATTCTTATGAGCAATTTATTTAAATTTATTTATTTGATCATTTTTTAAATTTGATCACGATGCTTATTTGAAATATTAACAATTGTTTGTAAAATTGTGAAGTTTCAAATAAATATCAATTCATATTTATATTTAAATATTTTAACCTTTTTTAGCTATTTTAAAAAATAATGTTTGACTACTTTTAATTTTATGTAACACCCCATCTCTCAAGTAACTTCAAATTCATCCATTGGGTTTTAATTATATCATTTTTGGTCCTTGGATTGGCAAGAAGTGGCCATGGGAAGCCCTAGTGGCAAGATGGTAATTTTGGAGCATGAGTAGTACGTAGGGCGTACATGTGAGTACGCTAAGCGTATTAGGGTGTGCCCTAGTACGCTGAGCATACACATATGTACGATGGGCGTACGTGTGTCCGGTTGAAAACCCTAACTTTTAGTGTTTGTGGAGTATTTAAGCATCATTATGGACCCTTTTCCCCCATCTTTTCAGCCTCCAAGTTCTGGAATCATTTTTGGCAAGCCCTAGCTTCTCGTGTGTGTGTGTGTGTGTGTGAACTAAGAGTGTGTTTCTTGTGTGGTTGAAGAAGAACAAGTTGCATCAAGGTGATTAGAGAGGGAAGCAAGCTAGTAGATCTTGGATCATCACTTCATAAAGAAGCTCCATAAGGTAAAAAGCTTCTACCTTTATGCTTGGATTGTTTAGATCTTGTTTTAGTAGCTTTTTGGTGTTCTTCTTGTCCCAAAAGTCCCAATATTGTGCATGCTTTGTTTTGGACGTGTTGAGTTGTCCTTTCAGACCCTAGGATGAGTCCTAAGGCATAAAAATGAGGTCCCTTTAACTAGTTTGGTTCCTTGTTCTTTGTAGGAGGTCTTAATGGATTAAGACCATGTATTAAGCCCTTTTTGGACGTCTAAAGTATTAAAGTTTGAGACTTTATGATTTGGGAGTACTTTTGAAACATGGATCTGAAGTATAGGCTCAAGTGCTAAAGCCATTGAGCACTTAAGAAAGGAAATGAAATTACGAGGGTACCCCCCGTGTAGCATAGTGTACGCCCCGCGTACCCGATGAGCCACCCTGATGGTGGATTCTACGCAGTCTCATGTACGATGAGCGTACCTTAGGAGTACGCCCCGCATACTCGGTCATTTTGGACTTGGATTGTATTGAGCCATACTGGGTCATCTAGATTTTATGGTTTGGGCTTTTGTCTTGCTAGATTTTCTTGAGTGAAGGCCATGAAAGGGATTGGGCCCAATTTGGAAAATTGGGCCATATTTGGGCCTTAGAAGCTTAATTGGATTTTTGGACTTTTGGTCATTTAGCTTGGGCCTTAGTCTTAGGCCAAGTTTGAAGAAGCGTTAAAAAAAAGATCATTTACCCTAAATTTGACTCATGGTGTGAGTTAGGGTCTAGTTATTATTGGATGGTCATTTGTGGTGTTTGATAGCGTGCGGGCTCTAGCGGATCTGCAGTCAGAGATTTCTCGTGGGATCAGCTGTTGATGGGGTTGGCTTGGTAATAGCAGCCAGGGATCGTCGGTAGTGCGAGGTGAGTTGTCCTCACTATACTCTTGGGTCGAAGGCAGCAATGTCGGCCCTTTGGATTGTTATCTCGGTTTATCATATACTTGCGCTGTTGTAGTGGTCTGTTAGATCTGTATCCTGGTAGATAGTATGATGCTATGTTTAGTGATCTGTTATATCTGCCTGTTATCTGTTCTGCCTATATGTTTACCAGTTGCATGTGTTGATGTAGTGTGGTTGGGTTAAGACTGTACTGCTTTGTGCTGCCAGTCAACAAACCCAGTGATATTTATATCGGTATGTTATATGTATGCTTATCTATTATGTATATGTCGACATGGTTTGTGTGTATGGTTGGGTTGAGGCGGACCTGCTTAGTGTTGAAGGCCAACAGACCCAGGGCCCGGACAAGCTGTAGGCCAGTAGGGGCGTACCAGTCAGGCCGAAGCCTGGAGAATGATCCAGACAGGCTGAAGGCCCGGTGAGGCGGTCCAGACATGCTGAAGGTTCTGTGAGCGGTCCAGACAGGCAGAAGGCCCGGTGAGGCGGTCCAGACATGCTAAAGGCTTTGTATGCATGTAGTTTGTTGTATATGTTATCGGTTGTGTGATTGGTATTTTAGAGGAAACTCACTAAGCTTCGTGCTTACAGTTTTGCTTTATCGTTTCAGGTACTTTAGTGGATCGTGTCAAGGTGAAGGCGTGACCGTACAAATCCTCGTGTTTTTTGACTTATGATTTCTGGGAAACTCTGATAACGTGAATGTTTTGAAAACTATGTTGAAAGCGATTCTGATTTTTAAAGTAATGTTTTGGAAACAATGGTTTAGTAAATACTTCTTTTGAAAAATGGTTGTTTTGAAAAGTTTAAATTTTATGAATTTTTATGGATGTTACATTTTATTTTATATTTTGATTTGGGTTTTAGATTTAATATCTTATTTAAATTAACAAATTAAATATATTTTATTGATAAACTAAAAGCTTTATAATTAATATAATAATATTTTACATTTAATAACATACTTAAATTAATAAATTTAATATATTAGATGGAAAGTCGAAGGGTTAGAAAGTTTCGTATAAATATGGTGAAAAGAAAAATGATTTATGTGTAGTATAGTATAGACATTTTTGAAAGTTTCATACAAATACCAAAAACACATTAGATATATTAACTTGAGGGAGATGATTAAGTTCATGGTAAAAAACAAACCGTAATTTTGAAAATGTTTGAAAGGTACCCAAAGAAAATACAAATCATGGGACCAATTTTGTAATTTTGTCTTTTAATTATTTAGGGTTCACCTTTCATCTTCAACTTCAATCTCTTCTAAGAAATTGTAAGGTGACCTCTTATTTGAATCATTAAAAAGCAACCACCTAATGAAACCATTAAAAGGTAATATCTTAATGGTTCAACATTAAAAGTATTCGTTAACCCATAAAATATGTCTTTAACTGAATCACATGGGCAACCCCTCTGAATGATTCATGCATTACAACCCATATGAAGCATTCTTTTTCCTTACCGTCCTTTCTTTCCTTTTCATTATTTTTCTAGTAACCTACGAGAGGGAGAGAAAGGAGCCGCCGACGCCACCCATCCTTTCTTTCATTCCATAAAAGTTTTTAAAGCATCTTATATGAGTAATTTATTATTAGGGATATATGCAGAAAAGCACAATCAGTTATACATGTATATGCAGAAAAACTCTTATATTATTTTTTATGTTCAGAAAAAAAAAAAAAACTCTTATATTATTATTTACGTTTCAAATAAAACCAAATTGCAAATTTTTAAAGAAATGACCAGCTAAAAATATAATATGATATGCATATCCCATATATTTTCTTGATTGTATGTGAAAACATGTCAAAACGTACATTTAATTCGATTGCTTTTGCTCGATTGTGTTCTCCATATAGAATTATACAATTGATTTTTCCCTTATTAATTAATTGTTTTTTTATCATAATTAACATCAATGACGCATTAAAAAAACAAAAATGTAAGCAACATTAGATTTGTAGTCGACAACTTCTCTTAAAACCATGTATTTTGGTCTTTTCCGAATGATAACTATCAACGAGTCGAAGATGTTGGGATGAAGGGGCTGTGATGGTTTGAATGGGCGACATCACTGTCGGTAGCACTCCGTCGCACGCCACCTCGCTGAAGAGCGCCGCCGTCGCATTTCTCGGATTACCGTCGCCACCTCTCTGTCGTGTTCTTCTTCTCCTTCTCCGTTCCTGTTTCGGCGTTGCGCCACTGTTGTGGCTCCGAATACTATCCCACTGCCACCTCTCCGTTCACTTTCTTCATCGTTGTTGATTGGGACCCGTCGATTGCCGCCACCGCCATGCGGCTACCTTGCCGTGACTGAATGACCGCCGACCATTTCACGCCACCAGGTGGGTGGCTACGATCGTTGGGCATGTTTTGTCGAGTGTTGTCGTTGCTAATCGTTTTAGACTCGTTATTGTTGGCCGGAAATGTGAAGGGGCCACCATGGCCGCCACCCTTGGTGGCTGCCACCATCTACCACCAACTG